GCACTTAACAGCAACAACAACAAGGAAATCCTGACTCCCCTTAACTGCTCTTCACAAGCAGTTAACAGAGATCTAAATACAACAACATCACAATGTGTCAAAGACAACAGACCATCACAGTCCACACAAAGAAGCAAGATAAAGCAGTAGAAACAAGGAAGCAGGGCATGGACCCAGAACACATCCCTGAGGAATATAAGCAACATTGGAACTCCCTGATGTGGAATTGAAAAGAATTATACTTAGGTATCTTCAAAGGATTGAGAGACAGATCAAGAAAAACACTGACAAAATTAAGGAAAACACAGACAAAACCCTAGAACAATTTTGGAAGAAAATACAACAATAAAATGACAAAATAAGTAAAAAATTAGAAATGATACAAAATCTACAGAGAGAAATCCAAAAGATTAATATTAAATTTTTAGAAATTGATAACACATTCAAAGGGCATAACAGTAGAATCGAATCAATGGAAGACAGAATTAATGAGATTGAAGACAAATGCCAGAAAACTTCTTTGGAAAGAGATCAATCAGAAAAAAAGATCAAAGTGAAATGAAGACAGTATGTGGGATACCATCAAAAGGAATGACCTACATGTAATTAGAATTCCAGAAAAGGAAGAGAAAAATAAAACCACTGAGAAAATTGTCCAAGATTTGTTGGAAGAGAACTTCCCTGATATGATGAAAGATGAGAATACATCCATTCAGGAAGTACAATGAACCCCAAACAGGATATATGCCAAAAGAAAATCACTAAGGCATATCATCATTGAACTCATCAAAACAAAAGAGAAGGAAAGAATCATGAAAGCAGCACAGGAAAAATGAAAAATCAGCCACTGAAAACCCTGTGGATAAGTGTTCTATTGTGATGCATATGGGGTCCCTATGAGTTGGGTTGATTTAACAGCAATTCAGCAGCAATTAATTTGGTTTACTGGTTTAGTCATTAAAGCACATTATTTTTAGTAGATATCTCTATAAAGAACAAAGATAGCATAATGTGAGTTGATCTCTCCTTGTAGTGTATTAAATTTGAATAGAGTGCAATACAAAATGATTTAACAAAATACATCACCTGGTAATTATAAAGCCTTGAGCCATATTCTGTAATTGCAGCATGTACTTGTCTGGATTTTTGAGGAAAATCTGTGTCTTTAAGCCACTCACAATTTTGAAGTCCTGTTAAGAAAAGACCAACTCTGAGTTAGAGTTTATCTTCCAGCGAGAAACACATTTCTAAAATGTTGTAAATATATTTAACAGGCATTTTTCTAAGTTTATGGGGGGTATATACAATCTCAAAAAATAAATCGGAGTCCTAATTAATTCCACTGAAAAAATGTCCACATCAGTCTCAAGCAGTCTGGTACATTGATTGGCAAGTTGGTGAGCTTATACCTGGGAAATACAAAGGAGAATTTGTATCCATTATAAATATATACATATTTAAATCTTAAAATATGTCAAGGGAATTGGGAATATAATTTCCAAAATGAGTAAAATTCAAGATATCAAGTATTTCATTGTTCACACTGTGTGTCTCCCCACAGGCAATGAGGTGAAGACTGAAAAGAGCCACTTGAACCCTTGTGCACAGGTCTGCAGTAGTGTGGGGAGATGATTCAGCCAGGAAAGTGTGAGACCTGGGAGCAGGCAAGTAGGAAGGGCCAACGGTAACAGATATGAAGACTAGACAGCTAGGATGCAGAGAGGAGCTGAACAATGTGCAGTTCTCATTAAAAACCACAATATCTAGGGGCTCGTGGCCCACTGAACTGGCCCACCCAGATGCAGCTAGTGGACAGAGACCCATTGACCTTGAGCAAGCATGGAATTAAGAACGATCAGTGCTGATGTACACTTGCCATCATAAAGGTACGACACCCAGCATACCGCCATTTTATGAAAGACTATTTCATGTCGATAATTAGGATTTTTTGCTTCAAGTTGTTAATATATTAAAGAAATATTTTCCAATGTAAAAAGGATTTGTGATTTGTGATACTAGAAAATGCCAAACTTCATGTTCATTGGTAATTTCTTCAGGAAGTGTGTGATGAGCAAGAATCGTTGGTTGTCACAGTTTCCCAAGCTGACTCGCCTACACTTAGAAAAGGTGACTTGTGTAATGCTTTGTAATAAAAATATTAAGAATTCCTAACTATGAAACAAGTTTTGTGATCCCAATCACCATTCTAACAGAAAAAAAAAAAAGCAGTTTTTAAATTTTCTCTAAAGAAGTCTGTATTACTCTTACAATCGTAAAGAAAAAAACATGCATGTTTCAAGACTGTGCAGGTTGGTGCATGGCTGACTGTTCTGAAAAGAATCACAAAAGGAGGTCCTGGATAGAGTGAGAGAAAAATGTGGAACAAAACTCAAGATAATAAAAAAGAACAGGCTTACTTGTTTGATAGAGACTGATGGAACCCCTGCGGCTATGATCCTTACACACACATCAGGTTTAAAACTGAACTCATCACCATGGCTCAACTTTCAGCCAAACATTAGACAGGTGAACTAAAACACCAGGGAGGTTTTCATTGCAGCAATCAACGACATGAGGTGGAAAGGGCAGCATTTGCCCAGGGATAAAGGTTAGAAGGCAGAAAAGGGGTAGGAAAGAAGGATGAATGGTCAACATAAGGAGGAAGTAGGACGAGTGTTGTTACATTGCTGGGATTGCAATGAATGTCGCAAAATAAAAGATGGATGAATTGTTGAATAGAAAACCAATTTGCTCTGTAAACTTTCACTCAAAGCACAGTAAAAAAGTTTTTTGGGAAAAAAGTACTGGGCTGGTAACTTCCAGCACCTTCTGTGGTATTTATTTCCAAATGTATCACCTCATTGAGATCTTGCTCACCACCCAAAAATATTCTGTGGAATGGCTTCAAGGATAATTATTTAGTAAGTCTTACCTACAAGAAGAAAAATCAGTATGAACAGCATACTTATTAAAGTCTTCCATGATTGAATTACCCTAAAAAGAGTTTAAAAAAACAAAGTATTACCAATGCAATATACATGATTGACCTTAAAAATGGACTTCAAACTAACTACTACAACTGTGTCATAACCACTACAACCAAGCCAACAAACTTCTTATTGGTTGTTCTAGGTTGACTCTGTAAATTAATTAAATCTCTAACCCAGCATACTCCATCTTTGAAACTGAGAGAAAATAGTTTTCAGGATAGTGTGTATGTGTGTGTGCATGTGTGTGCATGTGAGCATGTGTGTGTGTTACCTCCCACACAAATGCAACTGTTATGCTGTTTGTGCCTATTTACATATGCCTTTAAATGCTTATAAGAAAAAAACTAAGGGAATTGTTATAGAAGTCTAGGATGAGACATAAATGAATAAAAGAAAAATCAGTCTGATTTTATAGAAATTACATGTTAAAGCTAAAGAACTATGACAATAGTTCTAATAGATAATTAGTTAGATAGTTCTAATAATCTAATAGAGTTCTTCAGTCATAATCTCCCACACACAATTTTATTGAAAAAAGTGCACAAATCATAATTACACAGTTCCATAAACCTTTCCAGAATGAACACATCTATGTAATCTCTCCCAGAACAAGACAAGGACCATCCTCTGGCCAGAAGAAATCTCTGTCATGATTCCATCAGACCCTATGCCTTCCACTTGCCACTGGTGAGCGCTGTCCTGAGCTCTGTCTCATCCATTAGAATTGCTGTTTTGAACTGTATATAATGGAATCACACGTGTTCATTCTATCTGTCTGACTTCTTCCACTCAGCATTATATTTGTGCAAGGCACCCATGTTGTGTGTGGTTCATTCATCCTCATACTGTGTAGTATTACAGTATGGGAATACACCACAATGGCATCAATTCTGGTGTTGGTGGGCACTTGGATATATTCCTGTCTGGGTTATGATAAACAATGCTGTCATAAATGTTCTTATAAAAAATGCTGCTATGAACACTCTTGTACATTGTGGCCTTTGATGTCACATGTCTATATTTCACTTAGATATATTCCCAAGAGAAATTTGCTGGACCACAGGGTATGAGTATGTTCCGCTCCAGTAGATTCTAACAAAAATTTTTCCAAAGTGGTTGTAGTTACAGCCTTTTCACATGCAACCTTTTTATAATCCCAAAATAAGGCCAGGGAGAAAAGTCTAAAACAGTTGATCAAACTAATGCAGAAGGCTGGGAGATTGTGCACACAAAGTATTCCAACCTGGCAAACTAAAAATGTCTGCTTAAAACACTTGTAACATCAGATTAAGGATTATTCATTGATATAAAAACTAAAACTTGACATGGCAGGAGAAGGAAGCACTGGATCACAAGTGAGGAGGGACAGTGCTGGCTCTGAGTTCAGCATGTCACTTAAGCCATTCAGACTTCAATTTTTCACTTATTGTTTCTAATAATGTTGAATTTTTCCTGAACTGTATGATCTAGGAAAACAGTGATTGTTAAAGAAATCCCCCCACCCTTTATGTCAGGAAAATTGCATATTGCAAATAGTGTCTCTTTCCATATGACTTATGTAAGACTCACAGAAGCCCCTTGTTTACCTATAACAAGGTCAGACACAGAACCTCCAAATTCCTATTCCTTGACTCATAAATGAGTAACTAAATTGCTTTCTTTCTGACTGCTTTCAATGAGAAAGAAATGGCTTCTTACAACCAAACTTCAGTTAAGCTTCTCTCTTTCCCCCAGGTCCCTGAATTTTGACCAGGGGGACTTGGGGGAAAGAGAGAAGCTTAACTGAATAACATATTGCTGTTATCAATTGCCATAGAAGTCGCTTTGACTCATAGCAGCCCTGTGTATAACAGAATGAAAAGTTGTCCAGTCCTGCACCATCATCATGATCATTGGTCCGTTTGACTCTATTGTTATGACTAAACCATTTAATTCAGGGCTCCCCTCAATTTACTGACCATTTATTTTACCAAACATGCTGTCCTTTTCAAAATGTGTATGAATTGTTGAATGGAAGACCAATTTGCTCTGTAAACTTTCACTCAAATCACAATGAACAGGTAAGCAGGAAAAAAAGATCTTTCCTAATTGTGTTAGACTGGGTTCTCTAGAGAAACAAAAACCAGTAAAGCTTATATATATATGTATATATAGAGATAAATTTATCTTAGGAAAATGGCTCACACACTTATAGAAGCTGGCAAGTCCAAAGTTCCTGGATCAAACATCAAGCTGGAGGCTTTTTCTGGCTCTTGCAACCACAGGGGCTAAAGAGCTCAAGGCTGGCAGGCAGTACACTGACTATTGACTCCAACGAATGACGAATCCAAGATCTCCAGGCCGAATGGTGGACTGTTCATTCACAGACAGTTGTAGGAAGCACAACAGAATCCCAAGCCACAGAAGAATGTCTCTCTTCCCAGGATGTCCTTGGATATACTGGAAGCAGGCCACACCCCTATGGAAACTCCCCCTCAACAGATTGACTGCTCAGAACATAGTCATCTGATCCCATCATGGGACAAACCATACCACAACAGCTCAAACCACACAGAATTGTGGTCCAGCCAAGTTGACACACAGCTCCAACTATCACAGTCCACCCCTTGTCAACTTGAGAGTTGTACACATCTTCTTAACAATATACAATCTCTGAATAAGGACAATTATAAAGTCATATTTGTGCCTAACATGATACACTAACACACATACAACCAAAATGCATTAACCTTATTTACATTTCACAGTCCATGACAGAAGGAAACAATAATATTTGATGCTCATATACAATGAAGAAATATAACAACCACAGTCCTCATTTCTGCAGCTGGTCATGTGGTTGTAGCTGATATTCAGAACTACCTTCTTCCACGACCCATTCTGTATTTCCCTTGCCCTCAGCAAGCACCTGAGCTGGTCGTGCTTCTTTGCCTGGTGGGGTGACCCAAACCTTCATTCCTGAAGGGTCTGGGCTGTTAGCAGTCATATCAGAATTGGGTTGCTGTAATTTTCCATTGACTTTAATCACGGGCATGGTAGTACTAAGAGACATCTTAAAGAATCTCCTGTATTCCAGACATATTCTTCTTTACCTCCATTATATAAAGCCAATCCAATTTCCCCTTGGTAATCAGGATCTACCACACTAGATAGTACAGTAATGCCCTTCTTTGTCTGTTGATCAAGAGGCATGAGGAAGCCAAAATGGCTGGGTAGCATTCTTAATTTCCAGTTCAATGCAATCAATATTGTGTCTCCAGGTGGGAGTGTTCCTCTCTTGGGGAATAAGATCTCCAGACCTGCAGAGCATAGGGTAGCAGGAACATGAAGCAAAAAATTTTTTTGAGTGGGTCACTAAGGGTAATAGAGAGTGGTACCACTCGTGTTTCCACCCCTTGGTTCCTGGACCTGTGAATTTTGGCTATTGGAGAAACAGAACCATATATTAGACGCTGGTTTAGAGCATATGCAGCCTCCTGGAGAACATTGCCCCAACCCTTCAAGGTATTGCCACCTAGCTGGTGCCGTATTTGTGTTTTTAAGAGGCCATTCCATCTTTCTATCAAACCAGCTGCTTCAGGATGATGGGGAACATGGTAAGACCAGTGAATTCCATGAGCATAAGCCCATTGTCACACTTCATTTGATGTGAAATGAGTCCCTTGATCCGAAGCAATGCTGTGTGGGATACCATGACGGTGGATAAGGCATTCTGTAAGTCCATGGATAGTACTTTTAGCAGAAGCATTGCATGCAGGGAAGGAGAATCCATATCCAGAATAAGTATCTATTCCAGTAAGAACAAAACGCTGTCCTTTCCATGCTGGAAGTGGTCCAATGTAATCAACCTGCCACCAGGTTGCTGGCTGATCACCTGAGGAATGGTTCCATATCACAGACTCAGTGTTGGTGTCTGCTGTTGGCAGATTGGGCACTCAGCAGTGGCAGTAACCAAATCAGCCTTGGTAAGCAGGAGTCCATGTTGCTGAACCCATGCATAACCTCCATCCTGCCACCATGGCCACTTTGTTCCTGAGCCTATTGAGCAATGACAGGAGTAGCTGTGGAAAAAGGATGGCAGGTTTCCACTGAATGTGTCATCAGGAATCCACCTGATTGTTAAAGTCCTCCTCTGCCGAGGTCACCTTTTGGTGGGCATTCATGTGAGACACAAATACCTTTACTCCTTTGGCCCATTCAGAGAGATCTATCCACATACCTCTTCCCCATATATCCTTATCACCAATCTTCCAGTCATGCTCCTTCCAAGTCCCAGACCATCCAGCTAAGCCATTAGCCACAGCCCATGAATCCTTATATAATCGCACATCTGGCCTTTTCTTATTCCATGCAAAGTGAACAGCCACATGCATGGTTCAAAATTCTGCCCATTGGGAGGATTTCCCTTCACCACTGTCCTTTAAGGAAGTCCCAGAAAGGGGCTGCAATACTGCTGCTGTCTACTTTTGAACCATCTGTAAACCAGGCATGAGTTTTCTCTTCCTCAGTCAACTGATCATAAGGAACTTGCCATGGGGCCATCAGTGAGGACTGGGAGAGGAAAGGTAATGTGACTGGAGTGGAGACCATAGGCATTTGGGCCACTTCCTCATGCAACTTACATGTGCCTTCAGGTCCTGCTCGAGCCTGATCCCTGATATACCACTTCCATTTAATGATGGAGTGCTTCTGTGCACATCCAACTTTATGACTCTGTGGGTCAGACAACACCCAGTCCATGATTGGCAGCTCAGGCCTCATGGTCAGTTGGTGGCCCATGGTTAGGTGTTCAATCTCTACTAAAGCCCAGTAACAAGCCAAAAGCTGTTTCTCAAAAGGAGAGTAGTTATCTGCAGTGGGTGGCAGGGCTTTGCTGCAAAACCCCAAGGGTCTACATTGTGATTCACCAATAGGGACCTGCCAAAGGCTCCAAACAGCATCTCTGTCTACTACAGACACTTCAAGCACCATTGGATCAGCTGGATCATATGGCCCAA